CTGACCTATTATCAAATTACGGCCGTTAAAAAGCTTTACGAACCCGTACTTAAATATCTGGCCACAACATACAGTAACCGGAGATCAGAGCAACATTTAGCAGTACGGTCCGCCCAAGCCGATATCACATCCATGTATCATACAATGAACAAAAATATTTAAATGCACACTTTTGGTTTTGCACTCCCATTTTTCATTGAGGGGATGAACTCAATATCTAAAAACGTTTTCAATGGATATACACAAGAATAACCATTTCTCTCAAATATTGTTACACAAATCTGAAAAATCTGTGATTAGTGAGACTTCTCCTTTGCCGAGATATCCATCGCCACCTCACAGGTGTGGCCATATCAAGATGGGCTGATTAGACAGCCCGATGATATTGCACAGTGTCCTTAGGGCTGGCCACAATAAAGGACCACTCTGCAAACGTGCAGTTTATTGCTTTATGGGGGGGTTTGGGGGCGGTTCCGGAAAACCAGTCAGGCTTCTAACCCTAGAACCTAACCCTAACGCATGTCACCACTGACATGTTTTAGGGTATTTAGGCGCTTAGGCGGTTAGAACCCTAAAACATGTTTTAATGTGTCACGTGGGTGACATGTTAGGGTTAGGGTTAAACACGTGACTGGGTTAAACCCTTAAAACATTTTTTAATGTGTCACGTGGGTGACATGTTTAGGGTTAGGGTTAGGGTTTAACCTGGGACTGGGTTTCGGCAACCCCCAGACGCCCCAATAAAGCAAAACTGCACGTTTATAGAGTGGCCTCTTTATTGTGGCCAGCCTAAGGCACACCTGTGCCTAATATATCATGCTGGTCTAATCATCATCTTGATATGGCCACACCTTGGTGGAGGTGGCGCATGGGATTATCTCGGCAAAGGCAGAAGTGCTCACTGATCACAGATTTTTTTCAGAATTTGGTGGAACAATGATTTGGACGAGATATGTGGGTATATTTTGTGTGGATATATAGAAATGCTTTTAGATCTTTGAGTTCGTTCATGAAAAATGGGGAGCAAAAACAAAAGTGTTGCCAAAAAAATTGTTTTTTATATTTTTGATTCAGTTTATATATCCTTATCTGAGTCAGGCTGAGGGCCGTATCTGGCCGTGGCAACAAACACTACCTGATATGCAGGTAAGATATTATTTTAGCAAACACATTAAAATGACGAACCCTCAGAGACAAATGTAATTAAAGTCAGATCACACTCGTGTCTTAGACGGAGGCAGTGATAATCATGAAACCTGTTAATGATACGCACTTCAAACACTTTTCTATTTACCAGCTGTAATTCACCTTGCAGGCTGGCAGCATATGTGGCTTTTATCCTGGTAATAGTGTTTAAGGTCATGGATGTTAAAGTTTAATCGTCTTCATATGTGTCTAATTATATAGTTGACTCTTCATTCAGAAGATATGACGGCTGCGTGTCAGTACGCTTGTCCATGTTTGTGATGTCGAATGCTCCAAATACCACCCTTTTCATGTGAACGCGCACCTAACTAAATAGGACACAGCTGGCTTGAGCGATCCACTTGATCACCCGCGTCGTAGTACAGTTTAGCGAGAGCGCGTATGTTTTGGATTAGGCCAACCGGCTAACTCAAACATTTCCAGGTTAGGTTGAACCAGCTTCGTAGTATACCCCCCAGGTGACAGAATACACAACCCTGCTAATGTTTTCACACTAAGCCACTGGCTGTTATATCCAACTATCAACAATGTGACAACAAAGGCAAGAGATAGCAAGATTGCTAGCCTTCAAACATGAATGTAACCATGGGTTTAAAATGTAAATGTTTCAAAAGTTTGGTTGGCAAATATTCAGGACACATATCCAGGTTACAAGGATTCCTGCAACAATTTGGGCTGAAATGAAACTAATAGTCACTCAAGGTACCTTTAACATAAATGAACTGCGATAATTAAATAAGAAGTTAAGCAATTAGTCAGGTTCTAGGTCCCGATCGTTAAACGTGTATTCTGGAATAATCATCTGGCACATGTGTTTTTTTTGCTTTCAAACAGCAGGAATGTTATATTGTTATTAGGGTAACCTCTGCTTTAATGGAGATTTTTGAAACTATTAACAGATAGACACATACATTCAATAAGTACCTTTTCCACTCTGGAAAGTCACCACAGCAGAGGCGAGGTCAGGAAAGACTTCCAAAGTGAATATTGGAAAGGCAGATGTAGGGTCAGGAATATCCTTCAATACATACTCGACCAGCATCTCCAGGTATTCTGTCTCCAACATCTCTGGAACATTCCCTAAAACAGTCGAAGTGGAGCACTGCTCTTCATCTACTGTCTCATCTGCTCCGACGTTTGCCTCTGTTTGAACTTCAACTGCAGGTATGTGTTCATTGGTGCTCGATGGTATGTTGATCCCAGCATCATCAGCTATTAATGAAACATGAACGTTAGGTGGCTAAACACACTATTCTTATTCAGAATCAGAATCAGAATACCTTTATTAGTCCCACAGAGGGGACATTTACATTGATTGATCATTTAACTTAACTTGAAAATCAACATGAAGGAGGGAAGACAGGAAGGAATGCGTGTGTAATCAAAGTGTTTCCACTCATTTGATTTATTTAGGCCACCACCAAAAAAGATTTCCCCACAACTTACAAATATTAAATCTAAAATGATAAATATTCATTTTATTTTTATTTGTTAATTTAACATTTTAAATGTATTCTTAGGTGAGTGCAACATTCATTGTACATCCCCCTGCTCTCCACTTATGACAGGTGCCAGCCTGATAATAATATTTTGCTCATCAATGTTAATAATACTAAGACATATCTGAATAGGTGTTTAGCCTTTCCTTAACATAATGTGCAAAATGCAGTGCAGTGCCTGAGCCTTTGCATGACTATGTCATATTTTCTCCCAGGAGTTGTGTTCATCTGATAACACTGACTGGGTGAATGGAGGGGAGTGGCTTAGCAGCCATTTTAGATTAATCATAAAAAGTACATATGGAGAAGTATGCAGATAGTTGAGTTCTTCAATGTATGAATATAAATCATGATGTCCGTTTGCTCACAGTGTATTGCACTGATAAATACATGGTTCGCTGATATCATTTGCAGCTCTGTGGCTGTTAAAGTACAGGTATTAGTGTAATTGTTTCACTTCATAGCCCACTAATACCTGATATAATTCAACTTAAATCTTACAAAAAAAATGCAAAAGGTCTGGTGTTGCTGACCTGAAAGTGTATCTAACATTTGAAATGTGATGTTCTCAATGAAAAAAAAAAAAACAGACTTACAAAACTGATTTAGGAAAAAATGCTGAAGTAAAGACTTTTCATGTTTCTGCTTTATGTGGCAGTCATGCAAAGATATGACATCACCATTGAGCATGTGAAATTGTACTTATTGATCTTACAGATTACTATTTAGAGCATATTTCTTTCTGAGTTGGGAAATGCCTTGCTGTTTTCACCTCAATTTCAATGATGGATAGTGCTTCTTATTTCAGATCAAAATATCAGATGGTAGTATTTAAAAATACCCTTTTTTTCACACAGAATTATTAGCAGGCTATATTGAATACAAAAAATATATTAAGAAATTAATAAACCTTTGTGGAGTTCATTTGTATAAATAGCCTACATGTATTCCTTTTATCACATACTTACATTTTGCTATTTGGGTTGTGATGGTTTACATAATCGCAGTATACACATTTATTCAAATTGGTGGTTATCATACCGTGTACGTTTGATTATCTACAGTACTTGAAATTAACTGACATTAGTGTGTGAGAGTTAAATGTAAAGACAAGAGCACCCACATTTACTTTTTTAATCATACATCAATATTTTTAAAATTAACACCTGTTATTTTTCCATTTAACATGCCATAGTGCTGCTAAACTAACATGCTTTTTCGAACATAAATAAAGTAGTTACTTAACTACTTTATTATCCGGTTTTAAATTAGGTTTATTAATATACCTCTGTTCTTATTTCTAAAAAAGGGTCAATGTAACTGTGTGAGTATTTTATTATTAAAAAAAATAACGACTTTGACTTTGTTATAACGTTTACCATGGCATCTTCTGAGATGGCTGTCTTACCATGAAAATAAATTATAACTCTATACTACATGAGATGATGAGTGTGATTGTGTGATTGCACCAGAAGCAATGACATATCAAAAAGTAAGTACATGCCATTATTCTTATCATGTTATTTCATCTGACAAAAAGTCACAGTTGCAGAGTAGGACATATTCTTTTTTTATGAACACTTACAGTTCTGGTCGAGTTCTTCAGATGGAGCACCCTGCATAGAATACAAAACATTATGTCACACCTATACATCCCATAAAACGAGTTTCACTTGGCGAAGTGCCCTAAATATCAGCTGGTTTGAAAATAGTCCAGTCAGACAATTATGGTTATCAGTATGTGTCAAGGTCCTCCTGACTATAATAGGTTTAAGATTATTCACATGACTTCAAGTAAAATAGATCTTTTACAGTAAGACACTTACAGTGACTATACTCAGAGATGATTAGAGGAATACATGCAGCTTGAATGTAGTACATTAAGGTCTCATTTCAAATGACACCACAATAACATTATAAAAAAATGCTTGCACAGCACACGTACCTCTGATGTTTGGTCATCTGGCAATCGAACAATCACCTTCACCACACCTTTCTCTAAATTGATCTGATGGGTCTCTTTCTTCAAAACCTTTTGCCGGTCTGTGAGAAAATAATTCAAATAATAACGAGAGTAGTTATAGGGTTGGGAGGGTGACTTTAAAAATCAGTTGCTAATAACTAGTTACATGTAACAAAATGTTTTATCAGTTACATAATCTAAGTAACACAGTATAAAAGTAATGTAACCTGATTACTTTCCGTTACTTTTGGATTACCTCAACATGAAATGCAAAGTAAAACCATTCCAAAGTAAATAAATAACAATAAGATGTTTTTTTACTTGTATTATGTAAAACAACAGAATAATGTGTCATCTTAGATTAAAGCAAGGCCTACAGAATACTATAGTTTACAAATGCTGTTTTAGTTTAAAACTAATTCAAAGTAATCACAGTTTTTCTGTTTAATAAATCGGGTGTCCCTCGCTGCATTCAAAAACTAAATATAAGAAAAAGTGCCTAACATTAAACCAAAAAGAACATTCTGGCAGTAGCCTACATCTACCTTTAATATATAATTATTTTAAAACGTTTTCTAACATTGTTATCATCCCCATGTTTTACAATAATGTACAAGTAATCTGATTACATCCGTTTATAAGTAACTATAAGGGAATACAGTTATCTTTGTTTTGGATCCTCTCTACGTAATCTCGTTACATCTAATGACAAAAGTAGGCTAAAGTAAACTCGGGTCTAGTTTATCGGGCCACACTTACCCTCTTCTAGGCGGAAGCGTATCACCGCTGCCTTGCTGCCATTATTATACTCAACTTCACAGTCGCCGCCGTTTTTCTTACTTCCGAAGTATTTAGCTAACTTTAATCTAAGTCTCGGTAGGTTGTTTTCTTCGAGCTCGACGAGCAGAGCATACGAATATTCGTCCGCCATGGCTGGTGGCTGAACAGCCTGTACACTGCTTTACTTTCAGTTTTGTTTCTCAGGAAATGGGACTTTTCCCTCCCCTCGACGCTGTTGTCGAATGTAGCCTTGGAGTGTTGACGCATAATAGCTGCAGCTAACGAAAGGATAGACGGTGTTCATGTAAAAAAAACGTCACATTAAACTAGCAAAACACTTGGCTAACATCCCGAGACGCAGTTAGGAAAGATCCCCACCCTGTCTCACTCTTTCACTTTCTGCTTTTCGTCGCTACTTTCCAGTGTGTTGGGTGAGTAAACGAACATAGCAGCTCAAAATGCACGTTATTTATGTTTTTAAATGTGCTGAATTACATATCAGCGTCGAAATACATGTTAGACTTAAACTATTATGGGTCTAAAAATGGCACAACTCAATTTTCTTCGTATTCTCGCGCCAGGTAGCTCGGGTTCATGCCCGTTGTAGGCTATAGTAACTGAGATAAAAAAAAAAAAACATGGCGAAGTATTTTCAAATATAAGTCTATTAACACTTGAATATGTGTATTTCACATCTTATAGTAGCGCAGTGATGATTTAAGTATACTTGACTTTTAAGTGTGCAGGGCAAAGCACAGTTATTAAGGAATAATCAGTCAACACAGGGGAATATATTTTGATTTTTATTTTAGTTTCCACATGTTAACCAGAGGTGGAAGACGTACTCAGATCTTGTACTTGAATGTAGTACTACTGTGTAAAAGTCCAACAATCAAAATGTTACTTAAGTAAAAGTAAAAAGTGTTAGCATCAGATTATACTTTAAGTACCACAAGCAAAAGCCCTCATTATGAAGACAGGCCCAATGCAGAATAAAATATTATACGTTTTGATAATAGTTATTATTGATGCATTAAAGTGTTGTCAAAGCTTGTAAAGGTGCAGCTAGTTAATGACTTTGTATTTGTATACTGCAGGGTAGCTTGTGAATTTACTCCAGGTGTAACTAAAGGTGTTAAATACATGTAGTGGTGTATAAGTACACCATTTACCTATTGAGTTATTCTGGGGTAGATGTATAAATTAGCAAACAATTGAAATAATCTCGTAAAGTACTATTCTAAATTCAGCTCATGGTTTTATGATTGATCATTGAGTGATACTCTTGTACTAATACACTGTCTCTGGCTCCATCTACTGGAGAGAACGGAAAACAGCATTAATGATTGTTAAGAAAATAAGTATATGATGGGTCATTGTTATATTACACTGCCTGTAGTAGGCCGGTCCTATTGAATTAATTTGCGTATTGACTTTTTAAATAGTATAATAATACATGGTATTTATAGCACTTTTTTAAGTGCTTAAAGATGCTTTATATTACAAGACTTACATGCATTCAATAATAATTCAATACACACAGATATTATATATTATAAGTTCACAAAACTTGGATACACTTCACGTCAGTGTGTTCCTGGTGCTGTTTTAATAGATGAAAAGCTGTAACAAGCCTGTACAGATATTTGTACAGATTTAGTGTATTAAGGAAACTGTTTTGATGAATTGAATGATACAATCGCATTGAAAGACTAACGGTATGGGGACGTATGTGGCTGTGATTATATATAATGTACAATCCAGTCACTGCCCTTACTTTTATTTATGAAACCATCCCTTCTGCCATATTACTTACATATCCACCTCAATGTATTTATTGAGCATATGAAGACATTTTCAGTTAAATTCATGTTTATTGTCTTGATTCACTTAAAAATAAAGCTGCACAATTATCCAAAAGTTATCAAATGCGCAATATCCAAATTGCAGTAAACACTTTATTTCGCAAAGGCAACATTTGTGGAAATATTCATCTGAATTGAAAATGATGGTGCTGCATCATTTCCCAGCCTACAAACGGTATACTATAGACTTAATACAAATCCCTTGTTTGATACAGAGCCATTTAATCTCATTACATTGTATGATGTCATTTGTTAGACGTTTTTATCCAAAGCGACTTACATTACATTCAGTACTGTGGACAATCCCCACAGGAGCAATTTGGGGTGAAGTGTCTTGCCCAGGGACACAACGACATGCTGACTGCAGTGGGACTCAAACTTGCTATCCCCTGATTTGAAGTCCAGCACACTATCCACTGAGCCACAGCCTGCCTGTATTAAATAATTGTAATTAGTTATTGTTTTGGCAATATTTGGGTTATCAGGTTCATGCATGCATTCACCAACACTGGTGTTCTAATAACATTTAATCACACGTTGTTTTTTCTGTATCCAGTTTAGAAACCATGAAGAAAGTAAATATTCCTCTTCACGGGCCTTCCCTCAACATTGTGAGACGGTGTGGACCTGCTCTGACAGGCGTCCTCCAGAGTAAATTTGGATGTGAGGCCACCATCGAAGGAGTGGATTTTGAAAGCGATGTGAGCTTTGGACAGCTGAGGCGACCACCTGTGGACCCGGTGAAAAAGTATTCTTTTCTGCTGCGTGGAGGTGTTGAGTTGTCTGTGTGGAAGGCTGATCTCACCAATTTCAAGGTGGATGCTGTGGTGAATGCTGCGAATGAGTTTCTTAAGCATGGCGGCGGCCTTGCTTATGCTCTGTCCATTGCCGGTGGTTCTCGAATCCAAAAAGAGAGTGACGATTACATCAACAAATATGGCCACTTGGGAACGGGAGAAGCAATTGCCTTGGATGCTGGTCGTCTACCATGCAAGAAGATAATTCATGCTGTGGGCCCTTGCCTAATAAAAAGTCCCTCTAGGGCTGATGTTAGTGGGGCTAAATGGAAGTTGGAGATGGCCATAAAGAATATCCTCCACCAAGTTGAGATACACCGTCTGCAGTCTGTTGCCATTCCAGCTATAAGCTCCGGACTGTTCAACTTCCCCCTGCCAGAATGTGCAGAAACCATCGTGGCAGCTGTGAAAAGCTACTATGAAAGCTCTCAATCTCATCTTCCTCAAGAGATCCGCCTTGCGAACCACGATGATATCACTGTCAGTGAAATGGAGAGGGCCTGCCTTCAATTGTTAGGCCCCAGCTCCAGCTCAAGCTCCAGCAAAGGTGCGACCAGATCTCAAACACCAGACGTCCAGATTGGAAAGGTCCATCTGACACTGAAAAAGGGTAAAATTGAGGAACAGCTGGTAAGAATCTCTAATGGCCTTTTATTATTAGATTTATTTTACTGCTGCTAATCACCCCACATTCAAAACTAAACCATATGACTTTACTCAAAATGTTTAAAGCTACAGAAGCTACATGCTAACTAGTGGCGAAACATGTTTGAATGTTATATTATTCTCTCACATTTATGAAATCACATTTAAAGTGGCATTTATTTTACAAACCGCAATCTTGTACCAACTTTGTTTTCTCAGACGGACGTCATCGTAAACACTACATCACCAGAACGTGACTTGAAGAGTGGGGAAATCTCCAGAGCTTTATTAGAGAGAGCTGGTTATGACATGCAAAAAGAAATATATAATGTCTCTTCTACTGGTCGTTTACTCATCACAAACTCCCACAAACTGAAATGTAAAAAGGTGTTTCATACCGTTTGTCTTGGGAAGTGGACATCCCAACAGAACGCAACACCAAAGCAGGTAAAGTGAGTTTAACTGATCTGGGGCATTTCAGTTAAGAGATTAACTAAGTTAATTTTTTTAGATGGTCATGAAAAGACTGAAGGACTAGACTGCACATTGTAAAGAAAATCATTTATATGTATAAAAGTGTTAAGGTCGTACTCTTAATAGAAGCATTAATGTGTCTGTGATTAATTCATTACAGGTTCTTTTCGATTCAGTAACTGACTGCTTACAGAACGCAGCGAAAGAAAGATACAAGTCAATCGCCTTTCCTGCCATCGGCACCGGAAACCTCGGCTTTGATAAAAAAGAAGTTGCTGCGATCATGACAAAAGCAGTGGTCAACTTCGCCTACAACAGCCAAACGGATATTGATGTTATGTTCATCATATATCCGACTGACGATCAGACATATAAGGTTGTATATTGCAAAGATGCTTTCACGATAGTAGAATAATTATGCTGTATCGGCCCTGTGGGCACACACTGGCTAAAATGTAGGTTCTTGAAAATAAAAAAAAGACAACAGTTATTAATACAAACCAAACTTTTAAACAACAAAAAAGGACAGAGCAATAAGAAAAATTAGAATCAGTAAAGCAGTTTCGATGTTGTATAAAGTTTCCTTATTGAAGCACAATGTAATGTCTCTCTGTTAGGTGGAATGTGGTTTTGCATTCACTGTGATGTGAGACACTCCTGCTAAGAATTGTTGACTGGGTTTGTCTGGTTACGCAAGTTTGGTTGCCAACACTCTTATCCAGTTTGGAGAGAAAGACAGAAGTTAAGGAAAGGAAGTTAAGCATGCTGTGGACCTTTCTAAAGAAAGGCCCATCAAAAGAAATATGTTAGTTATTGTATCCAAACCAACCAAAGTCACACAGAAACTAATCACGGCAGTGGTAGACCAGCAACTTCCGTTTTTTCTCCTTGTAAAGTGGCTGTTTTTGTCAATGGAGTCTGGTGGCTTTGAAGCATGGATAGCAACTTTCAATCAATGTAAAGCATTGAACATATTCTTAATAAAAGTAACACTTGATCTGATTAGGATTTCTTTGAGGTGGGCCTCGTTGGTGTCTAAAACACCTTTTACCGCGGCCTTCGTCCACAGCAGTACATGTATTAACTTCATTCGCTTTTGTAACTCCAGTACAAACATACATACAAAACACAATCTACTTAAGTCAAACACTGACTATGATAAGGTACCTCCATCATAATATTATAGGATGCATCCTATTATTTGTATTAATGAACTTCTCTTTTTAGGCTTTTGAGGATCAAATGGTAACTCTCCAGCAAAGACCACCTCGTCCACAGGGTAATACAACAATTCAGTCATCATTTCATGTACACAGACATCAATTATGATACCCTTGCAGTGACGTCCATATGATACTGTATGTGGTAAATGCAGATGTTGGAAGCCGATAGAAACCTGTAAAGTGCATCTAATGTAAACAATAGTGGGAATGCATGTTTGCCCATCCTGTAGTGCGATAATAAAAACGATTGTGATTCTAATTTGCAGAAACCGGTGCAATGATGTCTTCTCCACCGGAATATGGGCACAGAAATGACTCCCACAGCAGCAGAGCACCCACCCCACAGATCACTCTGGGTGGCCCCTCTGAAGAGCCAATGCGCGAGGCTGAACGATGGCTCAGCGGCCTTTTCTACAAGTCCTATAGCCTTGTCAATATCAGCAACAACTTCATCCAGCACTTCGGCGAGCGAGAACATCTGCAGCTATCCCGTCTAATGGGAAAAGGCGTTGTTATTGAGGAGTTTTTTGAGGGAGGTCATGCTCGCATAAGCGTAATGGGGAAATCAAGTGAGGATGCCGTAGTGGCCGGGTTTCAGGTGGAGGCCATGCTCTGCAACGTCCAGGAGGAGTTTGTAAGGGATGAAGAGGATGCCATGTGCGAGGCTTTGGGCGAAAAGAGAGTGGACTTTGAAAGAAAGAAAGTTGATTACTCGAGCAACGAATTCTCAAACAGATTATCTGCCTTCAAAAAGGAAGGACTGTCGATTGTGAAGGTAAAGTGATAAATAAATATAACAATAATAAATATCTTTCAGCTTGTGTTAACCATAGTCTTTATTTCAGGCATCTAAACCAAATCAACTTTATAAACTGTTCATTTGGAAGTGCTCTCTTCTGCTTTAGGACTCATTCCTGCACAACTACATTATGTTGATGTCACTATTAGATTTGAATGTCTTTACATAAATAAATCATGCACCAGTCAGTTTTAAAGCTGCCGTATTCTCTTATTTTAAATCACTCATCAAGCAGTGAAATCTTTTATATTTTCAGGTGGACAAAGTGGTAAACCCTTCATTGAAGAACATTTCTGACCAGAAGGCAACACAGCTAGGCTGCTCAACTCAAAAAATGTTCCAACTCATCCCTGCACAATTCTGTGAGATGGTTTGCAAAATTGGATTCCATGCAGAGTACGCACCACCTGGCGGTAGGATATCACTTTTTAAATGGCCTTTTATTATACAAAATTCTTTATGTTTGGTTAATGACATACCAGGGTCTTGAATGGTACATACAGAAATTATACAGAACACTTCATCTAGAAAGGAAGTACAACAACATTTTGAAAAGTGCACTTAGTGGAGTGCAGATCTCTGCCAGGCCTGTCTCTCTGTCCACTCCCAAACAAAGCAAAGTTGAATCTCACTCAAGTGTCCTGATTGAGGGCGTATTCATCGTATAGTGTCTAACTTAAGTGAGAATAAAAGGTGGGTAATCAGGATTCAAGGACATGTTTTTGTCATTCTGCAACACAGGGTTGCAAAGAGGTATTTAAACAAACAGACATTTATTTAGGCTTAAAATGAGATCAAACTTTTTGAAATCAATGTGTGAATTTGAGGGGCTGTTTTACCACATACATTTGATTTATCGCTGACTTTAAGTCGCAATGACACACCGCAACCACAAGAGGTCCTTGAGCTAACAGTTATGAATATGCACAAAAAAATGAAAGTCTTATCGGTCCAGTAGTACATGAGATCAGACTCGCCCAAAAACATGATCTCCCAAAAGACTCTAAAGATAAGATACACTTATAAACAATACAATTAATGATGTTGTATCTACCTCTGCATACAGAGGCAGCATACGGAGAAGGAATCTACTTTGCGGGCACGGTGAAGAAGGCCATGGAGGTCTGGAAGGAGCAGAAGGAGCATCCAAAGGAGGAGTATCTGTACTTCGTGGAAGCCGAGGTGCTGACAGGAAAATCGACCCGTGGGATACCTGGCCTCATCCTGCCTCCTCCTGTGAGGGAAGATCCTCTTCTTCTGCATGACAGCGTGAGCGGAGAATCTGATGTCTCCGTCATCTTTAGTGGTTATCAAGCCCTGCCCACGTACATCATCACCTGTAAGAGGTACTGAGGGAGTTTCTGTAGTCTATCTGCCAGCTCAAAGAGTCCTGTTGTGAAACTGGAAATGTTTAGTTCCCCAAAGTCAGAAATGTAAAGCACGGGTCCTCCGCACATAGAAACTGCCGGATGCTAACTTCAATATGTTGGGCAATTTGCACAAATAGCATATGCAGACAATAGCTGAAAAATGGCTTGGTTGATTTAGACAATTTTGGTGTGATTTAGAGGTTATTGAGAATGTTGAAACTATTTCTAAGATTTAAAATTGCTGTTTTGAATCCCCTAAAACTTTTAAATATACCCAAAATGTATCGAATATGGCCACTTCTTAGTTAAAACTGCCATTTTTTTAATCCTGAAAATGTCAAAAATCTATTCAACATCCTCAATAACCCCCTAAACAACTCAAAAATTGTCATAATCGTCTGAGCCATTTTTTTGCTATTGGTTGCATATGCTTATTAATGCAAAGCACCCATACTATACATTTCTACCAATTAAACTTTGAGGTACTCAACATTTCCAGGTTCACAATGCTGGCAAGTACACTACCACTGTGTCAAATGGAACAAATAATAAAATGCTTCCAGTTTGGACGTTCCTTTTTCTAAAGCAAGCCTAAGTGCATTCTTGATGAATGAATTTCCTGTTAGAGGGAAATGGCTGTTTGCATTACTTATCAGCTAAATCCTTAGTATCAAGTTTATTTTTTCATTAGGCTTGTCTGTCACTGGGTGATTAAGATATATTTAGCAGCACTATCACTTGTATATCAGAGATTGTCTTTTTGAAATTGCACTTATAGCGAAAGTATATTTCTTTTTGATCAGTCATTTGTTTAGTAGCGCCACATGAAGCTCTATATGCAAACACATTGACAGTGATTGACATACACATTTATTCTGGAAGGAAAGGGAATAATAATGTAACACTGAATATAACAGGTGAAAAGCTTTGTTCTACAAATTCATGGTTGTAAATGTTAATTAAACAATAACATGGGAATTGTTGCTGGTGTGTTGGAGCACATGGGGTAGCTGGTAAAGAGTTCCTGTTTGTGATTCAAATATTAAAAAATGTTTTCATTTACCTGTATTCTTTGCTTTTTGGACCTACTTGTGCAGCCATGATTACTTGTCATTTATAAATGAATTAAACTCAACAAAAATACCTGATCCAGCTAAATGGATTTATTGAAATGAAATACGTACATGTAACAGTAAACAAAATGCACTACATGTGTTGAGATCTATGGTTGAGATACAGTTTAAATACAGGACATGTGAAAGCCATATTGGAAAGTCCTTCATATTCTTAATAAGACAATAGATCATCTGTTGGAAAACATCCTACTTTGGAAATAATTCCACTCATAATAAATGTATCTCTCAGTTAGTATCTGGGACATTACAGAATTGGAGGACATTGTCTTTCCCACCTATGAACTTTCAAAGAATAATAAAACAAAAGGTTAGTTTTTTGAAAAGGGTTGATGTCCTAATACTGGAATGACCCAGCTCTCTGCAGCTGCATCATCAATAATCAGTTGTCACAGGGACCTTGGCATACCTTAATAAGCTAAGTCTTTTAATCGATTGGTCAAATGGGTTCATGTTTGAGAATAATAGCTATATTTTACCAGTGCAAGTAAAACATAACCTCAACCTAGTGAGTAGGATTTTATAAAAAACATATGTAACCATCTGGCTTTAAAATAAAAAACGAGACTCATCATTTGACAGCACAACAGGATTTCACACTTCTCTCGAGGATGACACGGATTCTCCTTACGAGTGATTTACTTTAACTGTGGTTCTTCTGACTGATAGCATGATTGTCTATGAAGCCGTTACATTAGCTAAAAGCTAATACATATTCCTGTAACATCCACAAGTTTTACAAAGACCATTTAACATAGATCCAAACACAGATCACTCCTGAGCAGTGCACGCTGGAATGATGCTACGATAAAGGAATCATCTTAAACCCTGTTATTAAATCCTCCAAATGCGCAAGATTGAAAAAAATACAATATAACGAGCATGATGAGGGAGAATAGGTTGGTTGTTTACAGAATGACTCCAGTGTTTCACACGGAAAGACAACAGAGCTAGGCCATCTGGCCTCTAATGCTCATCATATTGCTGAAATTGAACTATTCATATCAATATAAAGTACAGCTCAAAATAGATTTTCAGTGTGAAGTAACATCTTTAAGACAGTATTGTTTTTGTTGTTTGGGTGCGGACGTTTGGTTGCACCCTTATTTCTAAAACAGCAGGTTCTATCTTTGCCTATTACTCTTTTAAAGAAAAAGTTCAAATAGTTTTAATTGGGGTTTGATAAGGTATCTATCCAGTCAGTGTATTACCTACAGATGGAGGTCGGCATGCTCTTAGTTTGGGAAACAGACAGGAATAATGGAAAAGGAGTATCTACTGCTGCAGCAATAGATTTTTTAGACAACTAAAATAAAGGACAACCTAAATAGGTAAATATAAGTAAACACTGTATTTGGAATGTTTTCCCCACTTTACATTGCCTCCGAACAGCCTCTTTTGACAGAGAACTGAAGGAGTATCTATGCTCTCTTCAAAGCTACCAGACTCCACAATCAGAACACATGTATTCGTCCCACAGAGGGAAATGAACAATATCACAACAATTTAAAAATGTTTGTTCATTGACAAAAACAGTAAATGTAACCACCCAGAACAAAGGAGTTGCTGGTCAATCGCTAGTAGGATCGCTTATTGTGAGACTTTGGCTAGTTTTGACTGACTATGGATTCCTTATAAAACTCCACTTTAACACATCCAAACTATCCCTTTACTTACAGAACAACCCTTACAGTACCAATATATGGCTAAATTACGCTCCAAAGCACGGCCATCAAGCCATAGGAGTGTGTATTATTGTCACTTCAAGGACTCCTCCTCTTCACCCTCTCTCTGTTTCACAGATTCAAAGAGTCTCTGCTTTCATACAAGTGTTCACACACAGTCACTCGGTGCACTCGGCTATCTCCGTGCCGTCCACCAGCAGCGTGTGGATGATGCCGTCCCGCCTCTTCCCGCTGCTCACAGCCTTCACGCAGCAGTTGTGGTCTCCCAGCGTGAAATGTGTCTCTGTGCCATCCTCCACAAACTCCCCCTGCATGTGCGAAATCAGAAAAGAAAGCAGACAAAGAGAGAAATTGTTTAGTTCCGTATGTTCAGCTCTGGTGATGCTCTATATGCAGGGGTGCACACAACTTTCTCAGTGAGGTACTCAGATGAGTACCTGGAGTAAGTGTTTGGTACTCCAACTTCCGGCTCCCCTCAAAGTTCCCATGAAGACCTCTGTATCGCGAATGTCAACGGGGGGGGGGGTGGTAGTAGTAGTAGAGTATGATGAAGCCCTCTGTATCGCGAATGTCAACGGGGGGGGGGGTAGGTAGTAGAGTGCAGAGCTTCGTGACCACAGAGCGTGTGAACGTTGTGATCAGCTGTTTTAGCGCAGTGCTGCTGTACAGGCCGACGTTAACAGCAGCACACGGAGACCTCCGTCGTCCGGTGATCCAACCGCTTCACATATACATCGGTACGCAAATGCGCTTTGTGACACAAGTGACGGTACGCATTTCAGATTGTTGCCGCGCATGCGTACCTGCGTACCACTTATGTGCACCCCTGCTTATAGCAGACAGACCCTGGTACGATCCAAGAACGTGATTCCTTTGTGTCCTGGTGTGAGTACGTGCAACCATTAACCAAGTCGGTCAAACTACTGTGACTCACGAGAGATTGCGCTGTGGACCCTTAATACGGATTATCGAAAGCTTGTGTCACAGGGGACTTTAGGTTCGACTAATCGATAGCAGACCGGCACATTGGTCGGGAAAAGAACTATTACTACTTAATACGTATCTTCAATTTATAAAATGATGTCAGGACAACTGTCGTCTCTCGTTTGTCGAAGGAGCGTCTTATGCCGGTACATTGTACATGGTCCGCTCAACAAAACTACCACGTTACTCCCTTATCGACCTCACTTTTTGACGTCGTAGTCTAAGCCAGAGTATGGCTGTATTGTCCCTAGAAAAAGAGTCACTTTTAACCTGATGGCAAAAAAGTGAGGAGAACAAAAGGGTGAAACCCGAATTTGGGACCTTTTTGTGACAGAATTGGGTTTCTTGTAAAAGACTAAACATAACCAGGCTAAGAAGATTACGGTTGGCCGTCCTGTTTCGGCGGCAAATAGCAGCAGTACAAAAATTTAGGGAAACGTTCACAAAGTTAACCCTAATCGTAATGCGACTTACTTACCTCGTAACAAGAGGGTGAGCACAGTTATTATCCCAATATTAGCCCGGTAGACGTATTAGTTTCGGCTCCGTCTCTTAAGTTAAATTCGGCCAACAACACTTAACACCACGCCGTCCTGACCTCCTGACCTCCGGGGGACCCCCAGGCACCTCTTACCTGCTACTTGCCTCTTTTTTTGTAGGACTATGTTATTTATATGTATATACAAAATGTTTACTCCGGCCTAACTGGCTAGTTGACAGAATGAACACGTACTCAACAGGAAGTGTCGTGTCTGGAGGTCATTAAAATTATTCATTAAATGATTAGGAGAATAAAATATATCTAAAGGTGGTAGACTACTTTTATACAGAGTTGTCGACGGTGTCAATGTGTGATTGTCAAAATCGTATTCCTCGTCGTACACAGTCACTTGTTACAAATATTATTGCAGTTAATTCCACCAAGTTAATATTACTTTGACTGTATTTTTTAGGTATATGTCCTTCAGCACGACCCAGTCACTTGTATTTCCCATTGCAGACATAAAGCGAGTCGGACCTTTTGGTTTCCTACTCCTTTATTTTACATCAAAGAGAAACCACAGGAAAGGTACACAACAGTCTGTGAAAAAAGTCAATCTCTTAGCTCGGTTAAGCTATTGTAACGTGGTGCAATTTTTCCCCATACAGTACAAACCTCTTTGGTCGAGCTCACGCGATCTTAAACTTTGTTTTTTTATTCTTTTAGACGGGGAAGGAAGTTCTAGAAGGAGTGTCTCGGGAGGAGGTTGTGTGTAGCTTGCGTGGTACTGGTTACTCACGCGTGCTCTAGTCAAACTCGGGGACTGTCCGTCCATCCCGGTAGGTCAATGAATCGGCTCGCCGAGTCTACTTAACCAGCAGCGAAAAATTGTCGCGATGCCGAAGGTGTCTACTTATAAAAAAATTACATAAAAAACCATTTCGTAAAGTAATATAAGCTAACGATAGGGCCGCTACAATTTCGTAAGGTACCTTATATTGTTTTTCATAAAGACTTTATTAATGTGTGGGGTCGGAATATCAAGAAGGCGACGTCGTTGAAAACTTTTTATGAGTTGTTAAAAGTTTATTTACACAAGCGTTGTATAATAAGTAATAGAGTGTTTTTGTACCCCTTATTCCCAACTTCTGATGGACTTCAATGGTAAATCTCTTATTCATGTTACTATCTCGCGAGAAAGATCTTTCTTCCTAGTTCACCTAAACAAAATGGTGATCTCAACAGTATCGCTTGGTTTTGTTGACATTTTGT